AGTAAGGATAAAAAAGCAAACAACTTATTTATCTTACTCAATTAGTATTCAGCCAGTGCAGAAGATTTGAATGTCTTATATCTACCTAATATGACCAATGGCTTCCCTTGACAAAATAGTTAAACAACTTTAAATACAAGCCCATTGCTATTAATGAAACAGACAAATATTAGTAATCTTACTTCTTATGCCTTTGAAAAAGTATGATCATAAAACATTTAGGTTGTTAAGCACTCATAATTATAAAATATATTTTAAACCAATTGTTCCCCACCTCAAAAGAAACAAACAAACAAACAAAAAAACCTTAATAAATTAAAAGGTGCCAAGATAATAACTACATGTCCATGGGGACTATTAGCATATTAATGAACTGTGTTTCTATTTACACTTCCATCACCTGAGCTAATTGTTAGTTATTTTAAGGAAGAGGTCATGCTTTAATTAACAACACTAGGTAAATGAAAGCTGGTTGCATTTCTTAAGTATGTTCACATTTCCCAAATTCCATTTCACAGCAGGGATTCCAGTTTAGCCAAAGATTTCATGTGATAACACCTCTGATCAATGAAGAAAGTCTTCATGGGACCCCCAGATAATTAGTTTCCAGAATAGAAGCCAACAAAAAGTATAATTAATGAGTAAGCTAATTGTTTTATCCATGTGAGTTTGCATATTTGTACACTTGGAAGGAGGGAAATCGAAAGTGATTGGAAATATCCTTGGCATTTAATATTTATAACTTTCCTATGTCTAAGTAATTAAAAAAGACAGAAAGCACAAGAAGTCTGGGACAACCTTTCCATGCTGTAGTATAATCTGATGGCTCTGGAGCCTTCTCCACTCAGGCCCAGGCATGCCATAGGTCTGCTGTGAGGCTGAAATGTAAGTCCTGTACTTTGAGGAACATAAAACTATATCACAAAATAAAATTAAAAAAAAACTCTACCACTTCTGCTCTACATTCCTTGTTACCCCACTCGTGACTCTTCTTAATCCTCTGCGCCACCCTAATGTAATTCTCTCCCACCCATTTGAACCATATCTCCCCACTTTATGATTCTTCTCCCTTTTCCCCATTTCTCTATATATTTTGGGCGAAGGCAAGAAAGAAAAACAAGAATGGGGGAACCGATTACAAGGTTCTACACAGACCTCCTCCCTGGAGGACGACAATGGAAAAGTGGGTGAAGGGAGATGATGGACAGTGTAAGACATGACAAAATAATAATAATTTATAAATTATCAAGGGTTCATGAGGGAGGGGGGCAGAGAGGGAGGGGAAAACATGAAGAGCTGATGCCAAGGGCTCAAGTAGAATGCAAATGCTATGAGAATGATGAGGGCAACAAATGTACACATGTGCTTGACACAATGGATGGATGTATGGATTGTGATAAGAGTTGTACGAGCCCCCAATAAAATGATGTTTTTAATAAAAGAAAGAAAGAAAAATAAGGCACTGAGTAAGCAAGACAACAAGGGCTTTAAGCATAGCTCATGAAGTCTGGTCTGGATGTCCAGAGTCACGGGCAGCTACTTTTCCTTATGTGAATCAGAAGAAAAGAAAAGATAAAGTGCCTGGGTATGTAGCTAGGTGTCAGTTTTATAGTATACACATTTTTTCTCTTACTCAAATTGTTTTCATCCTCCACTTACTGAAGGAAGTCACAAATAAAAAATGTAAAACCACTTGGGGTTGTGGGGAGGCGGGGTGATAACCAAAAAGATTAAAGTTAGGATATTTAGAAAAAAAATATTTTAATTAACATTTCCTTCCTTGAGCTTCATTATTTATGAGATTCAGTTTGTGGTACCATGATGGTTCATACGTTGTTGGAGGCCATGTCGTCTGCATTTCAAATGCCAGCAGGGTCACATACGGCGTGATGGATTGTTTCAGTGCTGCTTCTCCATGGCCATAGACTACAGAAAACAGCCTCGTCATCTACTTCTGAACATTATCTAGGAAAACCTCATGGATCACAACAAATTATTGCACAATATAGTGCAGGAAGATGTGCCCCTAAGACAGAAGACACTGCACAGGAGTCAGAACAATGAACTTAAACATACCAGTGATCTTGAAGATGGGACAGGATAGTGCACCTTCTGTTACACTATGCATAAGGGCCTTAGGAGTTGAGGTGGACTTCAGGGCAACCAACAGGAACAAGAGCAATAACCAAAATAATAGCAGCAAAGATATTAGTCATAGCACTTTATACTTATTTATTACTCCACAGCAATTACTCTTTGACATGTTTGCGTATATTAATCCATTCAGTCCTCAGGGCAACCCAGAGGCAAAGGCTAGAAAGGAGGAAATCGATATACAGAATGAAGTGGACAGAACTGCAGAGGGAGTCAGAGGGATAGGGATGAGATCATCCGGTTTCCTGTGGGGCCTGCCTTCGTGAATACTGCACCAGTCTGCCTAATTGTTTCTTTCCCACACATATTCTGCTTTGGTTAGGTACTGGTAAATTGCTTCCAGCTCATGGCAACCCTATAAACCACAGAAAGAAGCATTGCTTGTCCTGGGCCAGTCTCACATTCTTCGTTCTGTTTGAGCTCATTGTTGCAGCCACTGGGCAAAACCATTTGCTGCATGGCCTTCCTCTTTCATAATGGCCCTCTACTACCAAGAATGATGTCCTTTCCAGGAACTGGTTTCAAAGAACATGAGATGAAGAAGTCTCACCATCCTCTTTTGTAAGTAGCATTTAGTTGTAGCATTTCCAGGACAGATTCGTTTGTTTTTCTGGCAGTCCATGATACTTGCAAACGAAGGTCCTGAAAGCTTTGCTCCATTCCTGTTAGAAGGATCTCCTCTACTTTGAGAAAGCAGCTCTTCTCTAGTTGTATTTTGAGAGCCTTCCAACCCTTGAGGCTCATAGTTGGCACTATATCAGACAATGTTCTGCTGTTACTTATAAGGCTCATAGTAGCTAATCCCTTCTTTATAGTGTGCTTAGTCTGGAAGCTCTGCTACACTTGCTCAGCTTGGATGACCTTGCTGGTGCTTGAAATACCAGTGGCATAGCTTCCAGCATCACAGCAACATGTAACCCATCATAGTACAACAAAGTGATAAACAAGTCGTGTTCATATATATATATATATATATATATATATATATATATTATATTTAGTTGAGTATTTTAAAGAACTGAACTTTTCAGAGGCTTATATATGAATCAAAAATGACTTTAATCCATACGAATTTTTTCTCTACTTCTACCACCAGACTGAATAAACATTTTCTCTGTATATATTATCTGATTTATGGAAAATAATGGCAAACAGAGAAAGCATTGCGAACAGGACAGAGGTGCCTAGGAGAGGAAAGAGTGTAAAGCTCCAGTTCCCACAGACAAGCCACTGTCTGCGCCGCTAGGTCCTTAACTCCATCCACACCTTCTCAAGACCCTGTCTGTTCACCTCCATGGAAGGCTTTCTGGTGTCAAGTAAGAATGACCAAATCAATTCAGATCTGCCCCACGCGCTTCAGCCTGAAAGTCTTCAATAATAGCTATTCTCAAAAGGCTTCATCAATGTTAAGTCAAGGACCCTGTGTCTATTAGAAACAAAACAAAGGAGGCATGGTCCAACCATATATTTTCCCTGACGCAAAAGGGACTGCCTTTGTTTAAATGGCAAATTTCCAGAAACGATTCCTTTTCCCCAACTGTTTTCCTCGAAGCCACTTTAATTTTATTTCTTAAGGTTCTAGATATGTTTTTTTTTTAAATCAATTTATTGGGGCTCATACAATTCATCACAATACATAGATCAATTGTATAAAACACATCTATACATTTGTTGCCCTCATTATTCCCAAAATTCGCTTGCCTCTTGGGTTCCCGGAATCAGCTCATTTTCCTTTTTTTTTAAATTTATTTTAATCTCAGAAAACTGCTCAAAACAAACGAACTCGCTGCTATTAAGTAGAATCCAATTCATAGGGACCCCATAGGAAAGGTGGAACAGCCCCAGAGGATTTCTAAGAGTAGAAAGCAGTAGAAAACCTTGTCTTTCTCCTGCAGAACAGCTGGTAATTTCAAATTGCTGGCTTTAAGATTAACAGCCTAAATCAAATCTTTGTTATCTCCACTCAAATCCTAGCTACAGTAACTTATTTTACTCCCAAGGAAAAGCTTTTTACAAATTCCAGAACCTGTCATTGACCACACGAAGGTTCACTGGGATGCCCATAGATTTCCTTAAAACAAATAAAAATCCATGCTAATTGGAGAGCTTTAAATGAAAAAACAAACAAAACAAAAAAACCCACCTTTCCTTCTTAATCCGCCCCCCACCCCTCACCCCAATAGCACTTTCTTCTCTCTGAAAGTTTGAAAGTGGCTCTTGGGAGAGTTTCAGAGTGGCATACCCAGAGGTATCGTTCCAGTGAAGGTAAGTTGGGACCAAATAAGACTGAGGAAACCCGAATATAAAGAACCTTTGAGGCTTTCCGTAGCCTCCATGTAAGGAGGGCAATTACTACTCCTCACTAGGCTTCCTGTTACTTCCTCAGTTTGCTCTGGTGCCTGTAAGAATGCCCAAGGAATAGAGAGTTTCTTTCTATATGGTGTGAAAAAGAAAAAAGCAAATTGTCAGAGTTGAACACTTTGTCCAGCTCTTATTTTAGAATAATTACAATATCTAGAAAATATCTAGAAAGAGGTTTTTGTTGTTGTTTTTGTTTTGCCCAGAGTATTACTCCTTCGGCTTAAAACAAACGTAAATCCAGAGAGCAACCAGCTTTCCTGAAAAAGAAAAATCTGTTCTAAAAGCTTCACTCCTAACGAATTGCTAATTTGGCACTAAGCCAAACAATCTTGAACTATACAGCAAACGATAAACACATGATCAGCATAAACACAGCGCAAATGCCCTCTTGTAGAAAAGCCAGTTATGACAATAATCTAACAGTTTGGGGAAAAAAAACCTAACTCCTTCTTTTCCCAAAGAGAGACATAAGTGCAAGTACTTACAGTGTCATGAGACTTATCCTTGACATCATAGACTGTTAGTTTTATTTTGGTCTCCTCATAGATGGGGTACTCAGATGGGAATGTGACACCAGTCAAAAACAGTGGGTCTCTTGTTCCCTGTAACAGCACAAGCAGACAGCTTTGATTCAATAAGGCAGCAACTGCCGTTGGCAGCATACAGCGATACATGAGAAGGCAGAGAATGTGTCCCTGCCTGTTTGTTTTTCTAGGAAATAGTTCTATTAGAAGAGAGATCTGCATTGCCAAATGATGCTCATGGGCAATAACATGGCCCAAGGCCCCAACTCCTGATGTAGCCATTGATAGTAAGTAATGGCCCTGCACCATTGTCAGAGCTGCTGACAATGAGTCTTGAAACCCAATTCAAAAAAAAAAGAAAGAAAAGAAAACCAATTTATTCTCATTACATGGCAGTGCCCATCACATGCGTCTGTTGCCAGTCCATTTAGAACACACTGAGGGGACATAGCCTATAACTTATGCAAATAACCTATAATATTGATTGATCCAATGAAAATGAAGCTATTTTTTTATAAAGAGCCATTTGGCAATCGTATGCTGTCCATTTATTTCTATTCTGTGAGGATTCCGTGGGAAAGCCATCCTCTGATCATGTCCATTTGTTTTCAGACAGTCAATGTGATTCCTTTCCAGACTGACTTTAAAAAAAAAAAAGGAAGAAATTCTAAATACGATGGGACTAAGGGCTATTAAATTATCAGAATGCAATGCACAGGCTATTTCAAGATCACAGGATTCATTTTTAGGGATCTGCCCTTCAACAATAAACTATACCTATGTAACTGAATATATAATTGCTCGTACTGCTGAATATCATAGGAACATTTGCTGGAATTCTGAAAGCCAGTTTCCAGAAGTCCCATTCATTCATTCATTCATTCATGAAACCCTTGTGGCTTAGCACTGCATTGGACTTTTTGGACAGTCAGTGAGCAAAAACGGTCAGCAATGTACAGACACATGACTTTTCACCATGTCCACATATATCCTTTCGGAATGTTTGGCACTGTTTAAAAACATCATTATACTTGGAAGAACACTAATATACTCATGTAAAACGAAGGAAATTTTGCAACTGCAGTCAAGGTTTCTTGCTATGAATAGGACTATTTTTGTTACTTCAAGTAAGGCATTAACTGCAAATTGTACCCCTACTGAAACCTAAAGTTTCTCAAGGACAGACTAATGTTGGACAGACTAATGTTGTATGCAGTATCTGGGCCATTTCCCATTATAGAAATTAGTTGAAGTCAGCCTGAATCATTTATTCCACCAACTGCATCGAGGCAGGCGGCTGGCACTGAGCAAGCAGGTCTGGGGAGGGCCACTCAGTTCTTTCACAGAGGCGCCTCATTTAAAACAGATGCAGCTCCTTAACTCTAAGAAAAATAAGCAAATCTGAAGCAGTTCAACGCACACTTTCTTCAGCCCCAGATGTTCAAACAAGCACCTATCATTCACAAAGGTTGTGAAATGTATGTGATGGGAGCAAAATAATCAAAAGGGAAACACTTCCTCTTTTGAATGTGATCCAACACAGTAAGAAGTTTCCTCCTAACACATTTCAAAGTCATATTAGTAACAATACATGTAAATAGGAAATCACTCATCTAATGAGTAATAGTTAACACCGTGACCTACAGACATTACAGCCTCTCGAATTTGATCATCTCCCTTTCGTTGGAAAATGTTGGGCATTTAAAACACAAACCAGCAATCCCGCACACAAAAGTTTCCACAGACTGAAAAAAAAAGACAGGAAAACTTTTAAAAAGGCAAAAGCACTTTACATATTCAAAACTTCTCAGGGTTTAAGACTTTACAACTTTCTGTCCCCTCCTCCCCACATAAAAATCCTGCCATTTAATCTAAAAAAAAATCAATGTTTTAGTCTGGTTTCTATTGCTTGCTCTACTTGGGGATTCAAAGTGGCAACTTTTCTTTCTGTCCACAGGGGGGAAAGGCGAGTTCTCGCCATGTGTTTATTCTGGTCTGGTGCCAATGCTTGCTTAAGAACCTCAGGTATGTGTCCCTTAAAGACAGAGGAC